GAGAACCCCACTCCAGTCAGCCCTGGGGTGTGGGAGAGCGCAGCCCCCGCAGGGCGGCACCCAGCCGTGTGTCCGCAGGGAGGGCGCAGGGCGCACCCATGGGCCCAGGCCCGGGAGGGTGGGACGGGTCCCGGCATCTCTGCGTGGCCGGCGGTGGGGCTGGCAGGAAGCGCTTGGCTGTGGGTGGAGAGGTGATGACGGACTGTACCAGCTCTGGGTGGTGGGACGGGGCCCTGGCAGGCCTGGGGACTCCCCAGCACAGCAGGGAGCCCGGCACCCCGGCCTGGGGGATCTCCCAGTTACCTCCTGCTAGGAGCTGTGGACGGGTGGCCCCTGAGGTGGGCCCAGCTCTGCCTGCCCCGGCCCTCAGCCCTCCCCCGGGTCTGCAGCCCTGGGCTTAAGCAAGGGGCTACTTCCAGGCCCTTCCACCAGTGGGGGGGGGAAGGGGGGTGCACAGGAGTGTTCGTTCAGGACTCTGCGTGTCACCCAAACTCCCCCAGTGCAGTGGGTCCCCAGGGACCCCCAGAAGCCAAGCGTCTTGTTTGGGGTGGGCCCTGAGGAGGCTGTGGTCCCCAGGGGCCTGGGGTGGTTCCCTGGCTCACCCCGGGAGGGTGGGCTCAGGTGGGCTTGGGGGAGGCCGCACCACAGTATCTGGGGCGTCCCGGGGAGGCCCGGCCCTGACACACCAGCTGGCTTGGGCCCTAACGGTGTGGAGTGGGCAGCCCCTCTGGCCCCATAACAGGCCTCAGGCTCCGGCCTCTCCCCTCTGCCTGCTCCCCCCCAATCCCCTTTTTAAGGCCCTTGGTGCCCCCACCAGAGAGGAGGGGGTGGATGTGGGCGTCAGCCTGCTGGCGACTCCCGGGGCCCGGCCCCTCGGGAAAGGGCGGCCCGAGCTGTGGTTCTGAAGCCAGAGCCTCCCCGCTCCAGTGTGGGGAGACCGGCCGCCTGGTGTTCTTGGGGACAGGGTTCATGTGAACCCCGTCTTCTCGGCTGCCTCCCGACCCCTCATCGCTCCAGCCCTCCTGCTCTGGCCCCGGGCCCTGCGCGCCTCTGCCCTGGAA